ATTATACAAATATATTTATTTATATTATACTCTATATATACCACTTATTACATTTTATACATTAACTAGAAACATTTACACTTACGAGTCTTTAGATTAGATAATATAACTCTTATGCACAATTGATTTTGAACAGTATTACTTATGCAATAAGGTTTGAAATCAATGAATCTTTTACAATTTCTAACAATCATGATGATTGATTGTACAATATAAATATATAAGGAAATTAATGAGCTTCATCTCTTAAGAAAAAGCATGATTATCCAGAAAATCTTCGATTTTATATATATATGTAGATTTCATAGAAAACAGGAGAAAAAAAATAACACATTCACTTAATATTATAATTACAGACTATGATTAAATATTACATTGTTATAATTTGGTCTTCTAATTGCTTAAACATTACACGAATTCTTATATTTACAACGATCTTCTAAGCGCGATCTATAAAACATGAAACCATTAAAAATAATAAAAAAAAAACAAAAATACATCAGTCATAATTTTATAGTGCTACGCTCGTAATACTCACCGTTTAAGTTGTGTGCAACACTATTCTGTTCAAAATACAGCTACGAACGCATCGCTGGGGCAGCAATAGGGAATATGCACATTTTTAAAGTTATTTAACTGTAAAACAAATATCCGGCACCGAATAAATAAAATTTAGTAACGATAATGAACAACTGCGTGTAGTTTATACGCCGGAATTTTTGGCGCGCTTGTCGTGACGTCAAAGTACACGACTAGAGATGTGACATTTAAATCGATACGGATTTCGACTAATTTATTAATAATCAATTACTCAAATCGATTAACAACTAATCGATTTTTTTAAATATAACTGACTTTTTTAATAATCATATAGTTTACCAAATTGTGAAATAAAAATGGACACCTAAAACATCACTTAAATTATAATCTGTTGTTAATTTTGTTTCATAATACATTGATGTTAACTTATTGTAACAGCAACATCTCTATACGTATACATTTTCGTCACATCCGTTCTGACAAACAGCATTCCATTTGAGTGTTTTTCGGATTTTAATTATTTAAAATATATTCATATAAAATATTTTAATAACAAAAACTAAATATGATTAAGAAATATTTACGCATTTTTCTAAAGCAATAATGTTCGTAATAAAATTTATTTATTTTTTAAATCAAACGCATATTTCTTATCCTAAGGAATACTTATAGATACAAATCAAATACAAACTCCTTTAAAATGTTTGTTATTGATTAAACCACTCATACTGCAACAGCGCCGTATTCGAAGATGTATTTTTAACAGCTGCACTGAGAAATAAAGAAACTATGATATCGGTTTGTTTATAGTCGTTTGCTCTCTACAGTGACCGTAATAGGAATGAGCCAGAAAAAAAAAGTGTACTACTCGTACGAGTTAACATGACACGCTTCTATTGATTAACGCCGGGTGTTTTTTTAATAGTATTCCCAGATATATTATCTAACAATTTATCAATTAAAAAAAGTATTTTTTAAATACAGTTTTCACAATGACGATTTACGTTAAGAAAAGATTTAAATTAAAAAACAATGAAAAAATATAAGAAATTAAAGATAAATTGTAAAAAAAAAAACGAATAATTTACCTTCAATTTCTTCCATTCTTTCTTTGTTTTGTATCTTAAATCTTTTCCTTTTTTATCAAAATAACAATAACTCGGGGTTGGCCATTCGATATCTCAATTTTTTTCCGCTCGATAATATTCAATTGACAATTACATCACTGTTTTCCTCTGTAAGTTTAAATTGTTATTTGGTTGTAGTCTTTGTACATTCAGTCATCCCATAGACAAATTTTACAAAGGAATACTACCCCAAACCAAGGTTATCGGGTCTCGTGATATTTTGAAAATTTATGATTCAACGGAGGTAAGACTTAAGACAAGGTAAGACTGCCTCCGATTCGAAGATAATCTTCAAGGATATGATTTCAACAACATTATAAGAACGATTCCAAATTTTCTCGGGATTACAAATAGAATGGGCTCTCAAGTGTCATGTTAATTCATAAGTTATATTGTATGTATTAGTATGACACGACATCCACTGGGCTGATCCTCTCGACACAGTGCAAGATACAATTAACATTTTCCACATGATTTTCAACCTTAATATTTCGAGAGTAGATTTTCACTTTAAAATTGAGAAATTTGATAGATTGCGATAATCTGACGTGGCAGTGTAAATTTAATTTCCATTTCCTAAAGAAATTTTTAAGCATGGTGAATATCGACTAATCATTTTGATTCATATATCAAATATCAACTGAACCCCTCTATGTGAGAAATACGATTACATAATGCATTGTATTATACACCGAATGACTATCGCATCAAGGCTCATTATACATTTTAATTCACCATCAGTATTGGTGCGCAAATAAAGATTCATCATGTCCACATTATTTGGTACTTACTGTAGCTTCGTAATAGAATATCATACCGAAATATTTCAAGACAATACTTGTTAATAGTTATTTGCTATCATCGATGTAAACTTAAACAGCGAGCATTATAAATTATATCATATAAAACACTAATGAAACAATTAACAATAACAATGGCAGCAATTCTGTTGCACATAACATATTAAATTTCGATTTAATATAGTCGAACTGCTTTTTTTAATCGTATAAACTAACAGCAGTAGACTTGTTATATGATTGTATTAGCTTTCCGCCAACGGACACGCCGGCGTGGTTCTATATCATACATATAAACCTTCCTCTCAAAACACTCTGTATATAAAACATAAATAAACAAACGAAAAAATTTGTTTCAGTTTAGATTAGATAGTGATACAACAGAATGGACACCATTATCGTATCATTAATAAAAGTATTTTTATTAATTTAAATGTCTATGCAAAACTTTAATTTGCATTATTTATAATAATAAATATGAACGTGTTTTATATTTAAACTAATTGATTTTTTAAAGTTTTGCATAAAAAAAAAATATATCTCCAATAGCAACCAACCCGAAGACGTTGAAAATATGTTATTTCCTAAAGAAATTTTTATTGATGATTGATATAAAATTAATGCGCAAGCCTTACAAAATGATAAAATAATAAAAAAAATGAAATGTTTCTCCATATTTAAATATTTATTAATAAATCAAAATGGCTGATTATACATTATCCCAAAGAGAATAGAGGTGATATCTTAAAAACTCCATGCATGTGGTACACATACATTGATTGCTATTGGTTTATATATGTGCCAATCATCCATCACGTTACACTTAAATATTAATTTACATAATAGATTCATACTTATACCATTTACGTTCAACATGAATTTGTTCGTCAATAGTTATTTAACTATATATTTATTAAATTATTCTATAATTAATGAGTCTATGGTTTTCACGTTACGTGAACACTTATTAATTTACTACGCAAGTTTACATAATATTGCATATAACAGTTTATTTATATATATATTTCATTATAAATTATAATATTTGTCTAAAACATATAAATATTAATTCGAATATACAGTTTTGTAGTTTTTTTTTCAATGGGATATTTTATTAATATACAGAAAATTCGTATTAGTAATTTCCTGTTCATATTTTTCTTTCAGGAACTGTCAGAGTTTCGAAGCCTTTTCAAATACATAACGATTACAAAAGACAGGTTATTATTTAGCTTTTTATCAATATTTGGTTTTATTCTAAGCGTTCTGAAGTAAAACTACAAATGTAATTTTGCAATAAAAACAAAAAGGAAATAGCTGTACAGCTAATTTATAGATCAAATTCTAATTGTATAGAAAACTTTTTTTTTTAAGTTTCACCACGTTGTCATGTAAAAAAGGTACTTGGCATGGGCGTATTAAGAGGGGGACAGGAGAAGGGAGGACTGCTTACCCCCTTTTTGTATAAATAACAAGTCTACTACTGACGATAGAAGTTGATAGCCTAGTACTCTTAAATTTGCTCATTGGATACTATGCAGGCATCGTTACTATGTTTTAAGGCTAATTTTGGTATCTATTAAATAACAAATAGACGCCAGTAATCAGATTGGAAAGTAATATCGATCCTAAGTAGCCGCCAAATGAGGTAGAATAAGTGACATTGATATACAAATTGCGTTGTAATCATTGGCGACTCAGCCGAAGTGACACGTATAATAAAAAAAAGGATATCAAATCGTCAGTTAGTATTTCAGACAATACAGTTGATGATAGGGTAAGAAATAAGAAATTCTATTAAGTTCGTCTGTCAGGCAATAGAAAAATATTAGACAAGTATTTTTTTTGCTTCAATTTAAACAATAAATGGCTTAGATAAAAAGCATTTAAGTTGAGTGGGCTCGCTACGTCACAGTTTCGTAGAAAATGTACAAAAGCGTGACGTCATGCGACATTTCAACTCAAGTGTATCGCCGTAATTAATTATGAAAAAAATAAAAAAAACGTATGTAAATACTTATGTAATATTCTTCAATAGTCAAACCTGACGGACAAACAAAAAAAAATAGCCATCATCCATATTGTAGCTAAAAGCTTAATATACAATTTCGATTCCCTTCCATTTCCAACATGGTGCAACATTAGAGGACGTGACGTCATTTGTGGGGTAAACAAAAGGGACTTTCAGTGAAAAAAAAATGAATTATCGTCTGCAGTACATATATATAAAATCACCAATAAATAAAACATTAAACTGACCCTTGTAACCTGCCAAAAATCAAGAAATCAAATCAAATCAAGATTATTTTTTCACTTCAAATGTTTCCGCTTTTCTAGTTTCACTACCAATTCACAGACAAATGACATCACACGCTCCGATCGGTGTTTCATTTGACATGAGACACAGACTACAAATATTGGAAAATTATAATTTTTGTTTATTGATTTAAAAAATATAAACTGTAATCTATAGTTTCAAGTTTGTATCAGGTTATCGTTAGTACGGACAGACGACCTCACGTTATCGATGGTATGGTCACGCGTCTCCGTCCCGTTTGTCCCGTTTGGCCGCCACTATAGTTAGATCGGGTCTGGTCCGCATCAGAGCGGACGGGGACGCTGGTTCGGCTCGTAACGTATCCAGGCTTGCTACACGGATAGTCGGCCATTTGCCACCTGGATATAGATAAAACGTGCATTTATTTAATGTATGTTTATTGCAGCGGTTCTCAAACTTTTCTTCGAGGACAAACAGAATAGGGCTTCACGTGTCACACGATACAATACTAATAATTGTTAACATTACATTGATTGATACAAACTTAAAGTAAATTAATTTTTATGCAACAATTGTAGAACTTATCGCTTAAAGTGAATTCTTTAAGGCAACCAGTGCACGGAGAGAGATAACATTAATAAGGAAGATGAAGTGTACATGTTACCAATAACTTGTAATGTTATGTTAATTTGTATTGGTTATGTAGGCAAAGTGTGCCGCGGCCCGCGATCGTTGCTGTTAAGCAACTTTCGCAAAGGTCGGCCACGGGACGGGTGACCAAAAAATATTAATTCGAGCTACTGCGTGCTTTGGAGAGCATGTTAAGCATTTGGTGCCGGCTGCATTTGAAGCCGCATCGGGTCAGCGTGGTGGGTCAAGGTCCATCTTTTTAACTATCCATAAGGAAGACCCGAGCCCCTGCAGTTGGGACTTAAAAGGGCTGATGATGAAAATAGGCATAACTAATATTGCCTCACTACTATATCACTTGAACGCTAATAATAAGGGATGTAACATTTTTAAAATATCGATATATCGCTTCACAAAGTCGATATATCGATATATTTTGTGCCTCCATAAGACATTATCTGAAAAAAATAGTTTTATTAGTGTTTCATCGACTACAGCTACTGCAATTAGGAACATCAGTTTACACAAAAAAAAATTACAAACTCGGCAGGGAATAAAGTTCAACCATTCACAAATGTCACACATGACACATGAGAAACTCTTCTTCTTATATAAGATATACACATATACTCCTTGGATTTCATTCAATATTAGTTGTCCTTATGTAGATATTTTTCGATATCGATATATCGCATTTCCGTTATATCGTTGCATCCCTAGTAACAATATCGTATGTTCAACTTACTTGTAGAGTTTGCGGGTAGTGTGTTCGCTTCGCTCGTAGCGATTACCGTCGCCGGTATCGGGTCCTCGTCCGTTAGACTGCCTATCATTATCTTCTTAGGCACAGACTACAGGCAAACAAAACAATCTTATAACAAACTAGATTTGCGTCAATGGCTTCATCCGCGAGGTCCCTAGGGTACTGTTTATTTGGATATTGATTCATATATTACAATGACAATTTGAGTAATAAACAATAGTTACTGTGGTAACGTTTTAGTTCCCTATACAAACATCTACTCCCGTTTTCTTTGTTACAAGATCACTTAGGGGGGTTCCACCAAGTTAGCATATTGCAAGAACATTGCACACGGCCCTGAATGCTTATTCATCACTCCAAATTATGCAACTGACGGAACATGGTTACTTCGATTCATACATCGAACGGGTCGACACTATTATAATTAATTATAGTAACATCTTAATTCGTAGTTTTTCTTAATTAATGAAATTAATTATAAAATAAAATCGGTATTTTTTCCAGTCAGTCCTCCGGCTGTGGTTAACGTAATTTCTTCCTTTACTTCCTTGCAAACAAACAAGCAATCCAATCTTTCTTTATACTATTAAGTATAGATGTAATAACGACAGACGAGCGAATCAACGAAGACTGTTACTTCGAGTCAGTGGCGTAACTATACAGTTCGAGAACCGTGACAAATTCATCAGACCCCCCCCCCCCTCCCTATCCTCAACATAAAAGATGACGGGGATATGGGGATGATGATGAATATTCTTACCTTGTCTACGGCTGGCGATGGTTTCTTCATGGGTTTGGTTTGCGCCGGGACATTGGAGCCGTATGTACGACGCACTTTTAACGATGGATCCACTTCTATTGGTATTGGGTCGAAATCTATAACAATAATTGTCATATCATATATTAAGCTAGCTTTTGCCCGCGACTTCGTCCGCGTGATATAGTTACTTTGGGCAACATATATTTTCCAAAAACGCTGTTGTTTTTTGAGCAGATGATGAAATTACCTTGATGTTTAAGTTCGAAGATAGCATACACAAAAAAAACAAGAAATGTCCAATATGTTTCAGCACTTTATCTTTGAAACTCTAGATATATTAATCCAATTCAATGCAACTTGAAATACAGATGAATACACAAACAGTTCTGAAGTTTACAAAAAACTTAATCGAAAACGTAATCCAAGCAACAGTTCTACTTGAAAGAATTAATCCGTTACCGCAGATTACTTTAGAATAAACGTCATCTAGAACACAGCGCCATCTATTGGGTGTATTTGTAACCTAGATGTCAAACGATATTGAAGAATTTTATCCATGAATCAGCGTACATCGCATGAGAACTTCATAAAACTAAACAGTAAATAAACACTTGCTTAAGAAATAATTAATTAGTACATTTTATTCGTTTATATTCACGACATAAGCAAATAAATGAGATGATAACTATCCTATCCAGTAAGTTAGAGCAAAATACGGGCACATGTGAAATTTGATTGAAATCGGTTCAGTAGTTTTGGAGTTTGTTGGCAACATACATTATGAAAACAATTTTATATATATATAAGATTGGTATTATCTAAAAATAAAAGACTCAGACCAGAGCAACTCGCCTGTAATGCGAAAGGTTCCATCCCTTTTTTTTTTTAACCATTTTTCATTAAGAATATTTACCAGTATAGCACTGTGAATGCAAAAATGATCAAATATAATACAATAGACACCTTTTTGAGCGTGAAGATCGATAAAATCGAAGCTAGTAAAATGTTTTGTGCATACGCATAGTTATGTAGTAAAAGTTATGGCTGTTTTTATTATAAAACTAGCTTTTGCCCGCGACTTCGTCCACGTGGTAAAGTTACTTTGAGCAGCATTTCTAACGAATATTTATTCATTATCGTGTAAAATACCTGAAATAAAGTTTCATCTCCTTAGTGGTGGAATTTATCAAAATCCTTTCTTAGGGGATGCCTACGTCATAGTAACTTTATGCATGCAAAGTCTCAGCCCGATAGGTTTAAATTTAACAAAGTTTCATACAAACATTCATCCCCTATTTTATCTCCTTAGGCATAGAATTGATCGAAATCCTTTCTTAGGGGATGCATACGCGATAGTAGCTTTAGGCATGCAAAGTCTCAGCCCGATCGGTTTAAAACTAACAAAGTTTCATACACTTTCATCCCCTACTTATCCCCTTGAGGGTATAATTGATCAAAATCCTTTCTTAGCGGATGCCTACGTCATAACATCTACCTGCATGCCAAATCTCAGCCCGAACCGTCCAGTGGTTTGGGCTGTGCGTTGATAGATCACTATGTCAGTCAGTCACCTTTGAGTTATATATATTTAGATTATTTTCCCGTGGGAATGCGTCATTTTCCCGCGGTGAAAAGTAGCCTATGTCCTTTCTTGGGTATTAAAATATCACCATACCAAATTTCATGCAAATTGGTTCAGTGGTTTAGGCGTGATTGAGAGACTTTCAATATATACTTTCAAAAAAAGATTTAAATCCAAGTTGCTCGAGCTTCAAATAAAGTATACTCGATAAGGTGTAAGGCTGGTTAATCTCCCTTGACTACCTTGTAAGTTATAAGTAATTATATTTGTGATTTTATTGTTATAATTATTATTGTTATTATTATTTGTATAAATTTATTATTCTTACTTTTTGACATTGACTGATGACATTTTAATTGTATTGTAATATTTTATGTCTATAATCTAATGTTATGTTTTGATTATTTATGTTATTATAATTCAAATTTTTCTTATTTCGACTTTATTAATGTATCTTGTAACTGACTTTTGCTTAGTTTTCTTTTTTACTGTCGTCTATATTTGGTTTAATTGTTTGTTAATATCTGCCCTGCTCACCTTGACTGGGTGATGGCTGAAAATCGGCGCTTCGCCCGTTCCTGGGTGATTTGAATGCGCTGAGCCTTGACCCTTTTCTAACTGCTACACACAGGTACATCATGATTAATAATTTATTTGATTTAACTTTCTTTTTTGTGTGATTCAAAACTCTTTCGATGTAATTGTGTGTAGTTATTAATAATAAACGTTTTATTTATCTATCTATCTAATAGAGAGACAGATTTACTTTCGGATTTATAATATAAGTATAGATTACCTTTCTCAGTATGGAAGTCTGCCGCCATGTACGCGGCTAGATTGCTAACTCCCACGCCGAGGGCCAACGACGCGGCCTCAACTGATATATCGCCGCGTTGTAATCTCTCTAATACTTCAGACGGACCTTTTGCTTGCCAGAAGTCACGGGCAGTTCTGTTGACAAATATACAGGGTAGATGTGAGGCGTATTCAATAGAACAGAACCGCGTAACAGGTATTATTTTTTAATAAATTTCTAATTACTTTATCTTTGTAAATTACACGATTTCCGACCGAGTCGAGAGAAGTGATTATCAGAGGTCGGAATTAGGTAGAGTTATTTATGTACTTGCATCGAAATGTTGATATTAATGTGGAGCTTCCCGGGATTTCTAATGGACAATCTTGAACATCTTTGGACATCCGATGTCATTGATGTAAGTTTGTCAACTTCGTGCGTGCAATAGTTTAAATTGTGTAAAAGTAAATAACTTTTTATTTAAATAATCACGGGATTTTTTTCTGCTCTTTAAAATAAATCTCGGGATTTGAGGCATATCCACTTTATTCTTTCGCTGTATGAAATCAGTGTAAGTACATGAATAACTCTACCTAATTCCGACCACTGGTCATGACTTAAGCAAATATTTTTAATCAAATATTTTTTAGACGAGAGTTTGAATGAAGTGAGAACTGTCAATAGCTAATAATAATAATTAGCTAATGACAGTTCTCATACAGGATTAATACTAAAATCGCAATTTGAACGAAAATTTACTCTGACGCTAAACTTTGTCCATTAACAGCACTGGTGAGGTTTAATTCCCTAAGTTCTGATATGAGTAGAATGGCGTGACGTCATGCCCCTCTACAACATGTATACCGTACCTCAACACGCCTAAATTATTTGTTTTTATTTTTACACATATAAATTATTTGTTTTTTTATAATTAATATAAGCAATGTAATAAATATAATAAGGATAAAAGTGCGATTATTATCGGAAGAAATATTAATAATACGTGTTTATTTTCATTAACTGTATACACTCGTATTTTCGTAGTAGCGCACCTATCCCAGTGCGGTTTTATGAAGATTTGTCTCTGTAGAGGACATCGAGCGACGAGAGCGACGACAGTGCCGCCAACGGAAGAACGAAGCAAACTTCCCCTACCTTATTAGACTATCTGATTAATGTATGATCAAAGTGCGAAAATGCAAATTGTATATAAGAAATAGTTTCATGTGCAATAAATAATACATCTCGATGTCACTATTCATGCAGGTGAATAGTAACGTCTGCGCTTCCCCCCCCCCCCCCCCAGGGTGGGGGGGCAGTAGCTCCGATGAAGGTTCGTTGCCCCTTCAGGGCACGTAACCAACTGTCCAAGGCGGTGTTTAGACTTAACCTCATAGCCGGCCGTGTGGTATCCAATGAAGGATTCACCGCCTCCTCCCTCTGGGAAGGTAGGACCGAACCCCTAAGGCCGAAAAAAAAAGTTCTCCGATTGCTACATAAAGAAGTGTTTCATTTGAAGACTCCTCACTGAATCAGCATCGCTTAAACCACACCCTTGTGGAAATACAGTCCACCGTCTACAGTCTCTGTACCGTTTCATTATTCCTTTGTCTTGGCGATTGTTACAATGGCAAAATCCTTTAAAAAAGATTTACCTGTACGGTCGATTGATACATCCGAACACGTCCCTGTAGCGTCCGTACAAAGTGCCGTAACTGACGCCCAATATTTCGGCAGCCTGCTTCATTTCCAATTCCTTCATGCGAACCGCTTCCATGACCTGGAAACATTGATATTCACGATCAATAAAACCAGAATAAGATCCTAAAGAATCGTAATAGCATGTAAAGAACGTTGTTATAGCATACTCTATGGATCAGTCGTTTAGTTTCGGTCGCTATCTTTTACCTGAAATTGTTGAACAATGTTACATATCTTCTTTGAATAAAGGTACTTTTGGCTTTGACTATAAAGTGAATGAACAAAAATAAAGACAAAACTGTACAATATAAGCAATCGAAGTGAATTTGAAAAGCGATATCAGTTACATATCGATATCCGATTGTATCGATAACCCAAAACCCTGTTTTTCATAACCGTAGACCACAGAACACAGAAAGACGTTAGAAGGGCCTTGTGGGCGTGGCAGTGCAGTCACGATCCTAGACAAATGTACAGGATCGTGACTTCACCACGCGATCGCGATGTTTAGTCATTCACGAACGCGCGCGCTGTAAGTACTGTGAAACACGCCATTAAAAGTGTTAAAAATGCCGACTTTCGCAGTTATTAATTGAAAAACAAGAAGCCCAACCTCAAGTTGGTCCAAAGGAAGGATTTCTTTCCATTATTAAGTAGAATACTTCTCAAATTTAGTATTTTTAGTCGAAAATCGTGAAATGTTATCAAAAGTGTGAATCACAAAAAATATTTCCAAGAAAATATACATTGCTGGAGAAGTGCGCATATTTATTACATTGCGTCGTACTAAGCACGTAATGTAATGAATATCGCGAAATTACCGTTTTAAATAACAACATAATAGATTACGGTAGATGGGTAGTGAAGTGCCTGGAAACATGTAATCGATTCTTGGTATGTTAGGTAGTAAAAACTAAATAAAAGTATAGACAATAAAAATAGTGGTAATAAAAAATAAATTTTATCAGAGATTAACCATATTGACTCCGTTTGCAATGCGTTTGTATATTAATTTAATAATGAGTGTATTAATATTGTAATATTTTTATTTTTTATTTTGAACCATTAACAACAATACTTTTTAAATCATCGGAGTCTGTTCAGGATAAGTTCCAATAGCATTTATTGTACTGATAGTATTTTTTTATTTTGTATATATTTATTTACATTATATTGTTTGTCAATATTACTAGTTTCATTTAAGCGATGTTGCCGATCTTATCTGTTTACTTGATACGAAATCGAGTAACGTAACGTAAAAAAAACCTACTATTATTATTAATAATTATATGCATATATTTAAGCTCGACTAGTACCGATTCAATGTTAGTTCATTAGTAATTTAAATATTTCTTATTGAATCAACCAACTAATTAAGAATTTATATCTAAAGAAAAAAGATAATGTCTCATTTAATCAATACAATTCAATGTATATCCAATATAATATAAAGAAATCATTAATCTAGTATCCTTTCAATTAATCGACTTGTTGTTTTTCAATATCGATAGTAAATAACTTTATGTTAATCACTAGTGTGATATGTCAAATTGCGCATTATGGATGTCTGTTATAGTTATGGATTGGAGCGTTCTGATTGGCATGTTTAAAATACAAGTGTGTGCATATCTTTTGTATAATTGGTCTAATTATTCGTCTGATGTACGGCGGACTAAAAGTGGGGCAAGACTGGCTACATCGGTTTTCGTACAAAGGATGCATGATCGCCTTTCTAACCTCTTTTCCGTGTTCTGTGCCGTAGACCATACAAATAAATTTGTAATACTAACAAAGTGACGTCACGGGGCGGGTCGTGTTTAAATCTCGTGATAAACAGACAAAAAACCTGGACTTTTAATATAAACATGATATGTTATATTAATATGTAGATAGTCATGCGATTTTATAACTCAAACTCTTAATGTCTGTTTATTTTAATGTAAATTTTAGTTTTTCTGTAAGTTCGTGACTTATTTTCTATTATCGAAACAACTCTAATAAATATATTGGATTTGTAAAACATCTGCAATCTCGCAGCACTCTATAGCTATCATGATAAACAAAAAAATTACACTACACTGACAGGATGCTGATGACAGACAGAAAGGTACACGTGGTAAGAAGTAGCAAGGCAGACCTAGATTTCGCTGGGACGACGACATAGTAAACTTAGTGGGAAAGACTGTATGGACGTCGCGAAGAACCGGGATAGATAAGAGGCACCTGGAGGAGGCCTATATCCGAAAGGGGCCATTACACGTTAAATGTATTTTATTTTACTATTCAATTGATATATTTGAAATCACTATATCGATTCTGATACTTTTACAAAAATTACAACTAGGAAGTATATCGGCGTGAAACTGATCAAACGTCAAAATCAAAGTGACAGTGACAATTAACTGACAGATAGAGATGCCCGTAGTGAAATCTAAAATGAGTGTTGCCAGTCGTAGTCGATCTTTTTCCGTCTAACATTATTTACTTCTTTTTTTTTCATGGAAATAAAGAGGCTTATCATGATCATTAATACAGATGGCGCCATCTATAATATATATATTTTTACATTGAATATAAAATGTTTGTTGATTGATTGAATTAGAAAATTAATTCCACGTGAAAATATGAGGTATATCTAGTGGTCAACTCACCCTCTTCACGTAATGCTCCTCCCAGAACTGTGGCCGCCGCCCATGCTGGAGGTAATCGTTCAGCTTCACCACATCAGAGAAACGTGGATCTGCCGGACCTGATTTTGGACCTATCGTCACTATACAAATACACATCACTATATTAATTTCATTACTGTGATTTTTTTCGTACGGGATTCCGACTGTTCCTGAATAGGGTTTAGTAAATGTTAAATCAGTAATCTGTGGGCTAATTTTCAATAAAAAAAAATCTATCGCAATCCCTTTCAAAGGTGGAGTGATTATTTATTTTATAAGTACATTGACAGATTACAGTCAATAGAATATAAAGTTTATCATTTTTTATAAGTCAAAACGGCAATACTGTACACAACATGATTACAGAGTGTTACAGAGTAAATCAGAAACGAGAACCTGTTCAGGTGATGTTTGAGTACAGTTTGAGACGTATTTAACAACTATAATAAATAAGTCAACAGATTCTACTCACGTTTAGAGCTCACTGATGGTAAATCTATCTTGCTGAGGTCCCGGTCTATTGACGCAGATGAGGAAGCTGCGGCGGATGCCACAGATAACGCTCCACCGGCGCTGTCGTTAGATTCCTCGTCTGTTAAATAAAATATATGAATCAGTGATGAATATTTGTATGCTATAAAGCGTATTCGGCATCATTTTCACTTTTTATATTCAGCCTAATTATTCAGTTTTGGTGTCGAATATATTCAGTTCAATTGTTTCTATTTCCTTGGTTACACGACACTGTAAAGTAAAAGACAAAACTACTTTTATTTTTTTAGTTTTGTTACTCATAACGAAATGATCTTCACAAAAGTATAAGTTTGTTCTTTGAAAGCCCAAAGTTTGCAATTTTAGCTTTTTTTTTGCCAGAGTTCACCAAAGTTCCAACAGGACTCACGAATTTTTCAAGCGATTGTTACATTCGTCTCATCTTATTATATAATATTTTTCAGGATATCACAAATATAACAGTTAGAATACTATTATTATTAGCAATTAACAGTTCTTACTTCATTAAAATTTTCGTCTGCTGGAAAAAATATATACATATTTTTTATGATTGTACTTCTATTTATGCCCGTTTTCACTAACCTAGAACAAGGCATAACTCAACGAGAAATCACTTAATATTAAGAATAGAATAAGCAGATTTGTCGTTTAACCAAACTTGTAACGTTAGGTAATACCTTACTAAGTATTGCTTAGACAGGCAACATTTGTCTATGACTTTGCATGTTAGTTCTTCTTCTTTTTTAATGTATGGCCTATTTACGTTTACACAATTCCGCCAATGTCACGTTAGTTGCTTTTACACGTAGAGACAATAATAAGAATATATAAGAAAAAATATACGTGATCTTGTATTTACAGGAGCACCCGAGTCATCATTGTCCATATATAAAAGGTTCGAAAATTCAAAAAATCTTTGTTTGTATCTTAATTCTAATATATAAACTCCTCGATTCCGACCTACTAAATTGATTTTATCCCTTGACACTTCCGTTATAGCCAAAGAGTAAATTTATCTGTCACATTATGCAAAAGCGCCGCACAGTGCATATCCTAACTTTAAGCGTTATCTTTATTATTATATATAAAGTAGGAATATTACAATTATACTTAGTTAATTTACAAAAATAGGTAACAACTTAAATTACTCCTCTGTTGCCGAAATAGGAAAAGACATCCTGTATTCCAGCGTACAGCGCCCTAAAATCCCCATAGAACCCACAGAATTCACAATTTATTTCCTTATATGACAATATGAGCAATTTTGTAAATATATAACTTAATTATGAGCTAAAACTACAAACTAAAACTGTGTGTATGTGTGTTTGTGAGTGTGTGTTAGTGTGAAAGATATTTGCTCATTGTCATATGTGAAACTCATTATTACCATTGACAATACCCAAATATTTAGGTGTCACATTTGGGCGACACCTAAGTTTATTGAAAACGGCCATTACTCTATAAAGTAAGAAGTAAGAAGGGCTAAGGAACTCACCCGCGCTGTTGTCGCCGTCGACCCGTAGCCGCGTATGTAGGAAGGAGCCGATATCGGCCGGCGCGTCGGCCCACTCGTCGTCCGACGCGTCTCTCGACCAGTTGTCAGTACCGCCCCAGTTCACGACGCGCTCCGCTGATATATCCTTATTTATAAAATAAGGCGTGAAAATATATATAGATAAAATAAATTATATTAATAATAATTTATACTTAATTGCACAAAGGGAATTACACATTGAACAAAATAATATAAAATATTTCACTGTTAAGATTCATTTTGAATTAGGTATTTTATTAATAGGGGATCGGACGAATTTCTAAAAATTAATCATTATTGGCGCTTATTCCCACAAAAATATCTTTTTATGGATAAAAACCTCATTATGTACCCAAAACTACGTTTAAAATTGAACTGTTCAAAAAAAGCCTCATAAACGGTGACTAGGAGGATGTAACGTCATTTGTGGGTAAAAAAGGGTATTTTCAGTAATTATGCGTGGGAAGTGGTCCTGATGGGGACCGTTACTGCGCGTCTTCCCCCCGCGGTGAGGGACATCGCTGATATTTACTGGGTATGCACCTGCTTTTTGACCAGCCCCCACTATGGTCCGCAGGGGAGAGTCATATCTCAGCGTTAAAAAAAAAGGGATTTACATTGAAAAACAAAAATGAAATATCGTCTACAGTACTTATATTTTAACTCACAAATAAATAAAACAGTAAACCGACCCTTCTGTTAAAAATCAAATAATCATTAACATTATTTTGCATTTTGAATGTTTCCCGCGCTTTTCCTAGATAGATTTACTACCAATTTACAGACAAATGACGTAAATTGGTAGTAAATGCACTCCGATTGGTGTTTCATTTGGCGTGAGACACAGACTACAAATATCGGAAAATTATAATTTTTGTTGATTGATTTAAAAATATAAATAATTGTTATTTAACAAAAAAAATAATAACTTTTTAAGCATATACAACTCATTTTTTATTTCATTGATGTCCGATCCCCTATTATTTACTATTGTGTAATAATAATATGATTATTAATGATATTAACTTACTAGATTGCCGTGTTGCCATTCCGAATCTTTCTCCCTGAAATAGGAAATGTTTTTAAAATTACATATCCATAATCATCATCTGATTCATATCCTCATTCCTGAAGTAGTTACAGGTGCTATGGAAACACAATAGGAACATCCGGTTAAAATTAGTATGAAAATCACAAATGCCGGTGGTAGCATTACAACTAGCTTTCCTCCAACGGCTTCCCCCGCGTGGTCTTGTATTATACATAAGAAACTTCCTTTTGAATCACCCTATCTATGAAAAAAAACCGCATCAAAATCCGTTGCGTAATTTTAAAGATTTAAGCATACATAGGGATATAGGGACTGAGAAAGCGACTTTATTTTATACTATGTAGTGATACATTTAGCTGAGGAGTATTCATCGATTAAGGGCTGTTTCTTGTAAGACTTTATTATTACTAAAGGAGAAGTGTTTATGAAAAAAAAAACATAATAAAACATATCTCCAACTCTTCTAAGTAGTCAACAGCAAAAATCTATACTGTTATTATATATGCGAAAGTCGCTGTCTGTGGGTGTGTCTGTTACGTTTTCACTCTTAAACTACTGAACCAATTTTAATGAAACCTACGGAAAGTAATAGGATAGAATTGTTATCGCTAAAACTAGGTTTAAAGTGATCCTACTAGGTAGGAAATAACCAAATTCCATGCAGGCGAAGCTGCGGGCGGAAAGCTAGTATTAAAATATTATATGTTCATGGATTAACTCACGGTATGGAATGTGATGCGGACTCGTCGTCAGTGTGCTCGGTGCCGCTTTGCAGACGTTGCCGTTTTGGACTTGGAGAGTCACTGCAATATGTACAAGAAATATATTAATTATCATTACTATTAATGTACCCACTGCTGAGGTACACATCTTCCATATGGATGGAACCCAATAGGGAGAACAGGGTATAGCATCATCAGCTGTTTTACGTCCCCACTGAAGGGGTTTAGATATTAGTTACATAAAACGTTGCAACTTCCATTATAACAGCTATAAACATACAAATAACAAAGTTATTATAAATATTGCCCAGACACATATACGTTTTACACTACCGTAGCACTTTCTGACGTCACTCCCCCCCCCCCCCCCCCCTGCGCCCGCATACATTTTAAAATTTTAACGTTATTATGATTTTGGCGGATGACTGCAGCCATTTGGAGCATTTGGACTGCCCCCTCAGCCCCCCTTTATCCGCCACTGCTAATAGAGTAGTAGTAGTCTCCAATACTTACTTCCCTCGACTATAGCCACAAGTGTAGGGAACGCATTCAGATTCCCGGTCGGTTCAATAAAATTAATATTCTTCTATATTGTCTCCAGCAGAGCGACATCCTAGCTCTCTTACACTAGTCTTGATTCTAGACAGGATACGACATTTTAGCAATATTATAACGATATTTCGTTTCATGTTACTTTTTTGACATGTTGGTGGATACATTTTGGATAAATGACTAAGTTGGTAACACTGCTATCAAATCCATAATCGTCATTCTTTATGGTTCGTTCTTTGATACTAAAGTACATATCAAAACCATAAAATGAAACGAAATATCGGCATGACTACGACAAGATGTCGTATCGTATAGTTAGAATCATGGCTAGACAGTTAGCCGGTCGCACCCCGAGTTTGGGTGTTGTGGTACCATCACGTTTCAGATTTCCGGTACCATCACGTTGAAGAACATTAGTTACTTAGTTTTAATCTGAACAATCTAAGTGATGTTATCCGTAATTCTTAATGTAAGTTATTATAACACTGTACACAAATTAGCTTCCTAATTAAAATAAAGAAATAGAGAATTGGATACATTGGTTTTTAAATATTAATTTTACTTACGAATCTGAACGGTCCCTCTTGGCCGGGCTGGGCTTGTCCTTGGTGGGGAGTTTTATTAAAGGTGGGGGGCCACCTGTTTAAAAAAAAACATCAATTAATGAAAATTATTATATTGCTACTACTGTTATAGGATCAACAGCTGGGTGCCAGTTGCGTGGGAGGGTGACAGACAGACGGACACCGGAGTCATAGTAAAGGGTCCTGTTTTTACACTTTGGGTACGGAACCCTAAAAACGATATTATAATTTAAACGCTTCGTTTCCAGAATAAAAACTTTCAATTACGATAATTCAAATGCACAACATGTAGGTATTTTATTATTTGTTAATTTTATGATCGGCAAAGTTGTAGAAAAATAAATGGTGTCAATTAAAATACAAAGTTTTACTATATATTACATATCACTATTATCAAGGTATTAATATTTCCACTTCTGGGGCACAGGCCTTCCCTATGGGTGGATTCGAATAGGAAAATTGGGCCATAAACAACCACGTGGTGCTGATTGGTGGTTGTTGACTATCACAGATGTAGCCGGGACCAACGGCTTAACTTGCCTTCCGAAGCACGGAGGAGCTCGAGATACTAAATTTTTGGTCACCCATCCTATAACCAGCCTATGTGAAAGTTGCTTAACTTCCGTTATTTTTTGTTTGTCGTAATCATTAAATTACGGCGATAGATCGAGTTAAAATGTCACATGACGTCAATTTCGCTTTGGTGCAATTTCTACAAAACTGTGACGTAGCAAGCTACCCACTCCTCAACTTTAATGCAATACATCTAAGCTATTTCTTGTTAAATTCAAATAAAAAAAAATATGTATCTAATATTTTTTTTATTATCTGACTGACGGACTAAACAGATTTTTTTTTATCCAGTCGTCATCCCTATTGTTCCTTACTTCTGTAGTGGACCATCAGCCCACTACTGAAACGGCCTCATATCTAAAACTAATTTTCGATACAGCACGAACTACATTATACTCTGTCTCACTCTGCTGCGTCCTACTAACTAAAAGATACTCTTTTACGCAAAAACTACTGAAAGGATTTTGATAACATTTGGTAAACGGATAATTCTAAGCCTGAATTAGCATATAAACAAATATACTATCAAGTGATCGTGTAAAGCGCACAGGCAAAGCCGTCGGAGGAAAACTAGTAAAAATACATAAACTAGAGCAGGACAGAAACTATTAAAAACTCACCGTTAACATTGAATTTCTCTTTGACTTCAGTTTCGACAACTTCATTCTCCGCTCTCGCGCATCCCGCGTCCGTTTGATCGGGGAGAATGTGCTTCGGCGAGTGCTTCGGGGACATTTGCCTCGGTTCCGCATGCTTCGATTCCGCATGCTTCTGTTCCGTATGCTTCTCCGGTGTCTTTGAGTCGGTTCTCTTCATATGCGTGGCGACAGCTGTCACCACATCTATTATGATATATTTTTGATATTTAAAGAAACCAATATAAAAAGAGGTGTTATTAAATAAAGGAAAAACATTATTATTATCAATCAATTTAAATTGCCCCATGAGATTTCGAGCTGTTCGTGACATAAGATTTGAAACAAATGGTGGGTTGCACTCGCAATAAAAACTTTGATGTTTAGTTTATTGAAATGTGACGTCACACGATACTCCGGCTGTAGTTTACAAGTATCGAAATGTGCGGACATTACGGTTCTTGTAAACTACAGCCGTGCGATTCTGTAAAAAAAAGCAAACCCGAATTCGAATCCTCTCAGATGTCCGAATCCACTACAATAAGCGGCATCCGCTTAATCTTGAATTGGTAATAACGTTTCGGGGCATAAGTGAAGTGAGTTTCGAAAGTTTATAGGAATAGAATATCTATCGTAAGACACGTATAATCAATCAATTTTGTTTTGTATTTTTATACAAAAAATTGACAATTCCTTCACTAAAACACGTGAAATACACATGCATGAATTCAGGTTCGGATTTTTACAGAATCGCTCTGCAGATAACTCAAAGGTGACTGACTAACATAGTGATCTATCAACGCACAGCCCAAACCACTGGACGGATCGGGCTGAAATTTGGCATGCAGGTAGATGTTATGACGTAGGCATCTGCTAAGAAAGGATTTTGATCAATTCTACCCCGAAGGGGATAAAATAGGGGATGAAAGTTTGTATGAAACTTTGCCAATTTTAAACCGATCTGGCTGAGACTCATAAAGCTATATGCACAAAGGTACTATGACGTAGCCATCTCCCAAGAAAGAATTTTGATAAATTCCATCACTAAAGGGATAAAATAGGGGGAAAAACTTTATTTCAGGTATTTTTCATGATATAATGAATAAATATTCGTTAGAAATGCTGCTCAAAGTAACTTTATCACGCGAAGTCGCGGGCAAAAGCTAGTAATTTATATAAAAATAGAGAACATTTCTCACTAACCAGAATCACAGTCGGGCGGTTCGTCCTTGTTATTCCATCGTATATCAGTGAGACCTTTTATACGTAATTCCTCCGCCGTCTTCAGTAGACTCGCCAACTGTGACTGGAAGTAAATAGTTTAGATAAAACCATTTATTACTGGTACTAATTATAATAAAAGTAGAAAATTACCTTGAACTCGGTCGTGAATATAGATAATGCAACGGGTGACAGGTGCATCACTCCATTTAATGCATTTTAAAATAAAATCCATGTAAATTAATAGAGTATTTTACTGTTATTGCAAAAGATCTTGTAAGTTTCTATTTTAATTGAAATAAGCCATAACAAAATTCAAGGATATTGATATTTTTAATATTTCTTTAATAGGCTTAAAGCGAATAATGTTGGAAAAAATATGTAGCAGAATATAAAGTGTTCATAAATGCATTTATGAATGAGATAAATGTTAAAAAGCCTTTATACAATTTACAAAAGAATTGTAAATTGTATTGTGATTTATTTCAACAAGTTTCTTACTGTCTTAAAAAGTGATTATTATTGTTATGTAACGTTTTCGGCACTGTATTGTATATAATGCAAGTACCATCTATAATTAAGCACTTCTTTTCCTCAATGACTGTGCCAAAATAAAGAGGAAAAAAAAACAAAAATGTTTTGCAAAAATAAACTCGTTTTATTATTTTAAAATCTATTTTTTTTTTTTAAATATCAGCGAAATCACTGTCCCTCATTTAATGACGTCATTCGGATAAGTACAGATTAAAAGATGTCAATCAAACAAGAACAGTAGTGACATGTAACGATCTTGCTACAAAATTAAAACAATAAATAAGGTAACAACAGTGTCATTCAGGAAACAACATTATAATAAATCATAGGTTTCTGTTACAATTAATCTGTCAGATGCAGAAATTCTTCTAACGAAGTGACGTCATACTATAGCGGGATGCATGCGCAATGAAAAAATCTATATTTTGAACATCATCAATTTAATAAATCGACCTCTCTTGTCGTTTCTAGACACATGTTCTATATACATCTTCATATACAGTATATTGATATTATAAACTATCTGTTTTTGTACGCGTAAATTATAATATCCTATGTAAAGCCTGAATTTATAAAATCGGTCTAGTACTTTCGGTACCTTTCCTATTTATAATATTACTGTAGACTAGAGGGCCCAGTGTACTTCGTATCACATCTCAGTGTTTAAACCTTCCCTAGAATGTGACAATATATCAAAACCAAAATCAGCTAAATCGGCCCAGTCATCCTGGAGTTTTACCAAGGCGAACGAATATCAATTGAGTTTTATATACCTATCAATAGATGGACAGACTCACGTGATGTACGTTCATCTCGCCGGTGTACATGTAGTGGAGGAGGGCGCGCAGGTGCCGGGGCTCCGCGCCGTCTATCACCAGCACCGGCTCGCCCTGCGCCTCGTGAGCGCCCAATAACGCGCCCAGGAGCTCCGAACATGCCGCCAGGACCACCCTGACGTAATTCAAACTCTGATAAAGACATGGACTATTTCTCCGTAAACAAAATCTTGTCTATTGTCGGTGGTGGACTGTATGCGGAGTCTTCAAATGAAACACTTCTTCACGTAGCAATCGGTGAACTCATAGAACTCAATGAACTCATGTTAATTGCTCTTTTTTTCGACTCTCAAGCTTAGGTATTCGAAACCATCTTCCCAACGGGGGAAGGATGTGGTGAATCCTTCATTGTATACCTTATATTTCCACAATGGATGGTCATAGGATGGGTGACCTAAATTTATTATCTCTAACTCCTCCGTGCTTTGGAGGACACGTTGAGCCGTTGGTTCTGGCTGCATTTCATTATAACATCTATAAAAATATGCGCACAAATCGTACACATTGCATTGCCCAGACGCCGTTCACGTTTTTCGCTACCGTAGCACTTTGTGACATCACTTAGTGGCTTGAATTTGTAGGGAGCATTTTCGGTCAACTAGCAGAATTTCACAAACAGCACCGTATCTCAGAAACTATTAGTTGTAGACATGCTGTTACTTTCACATTATTTCTCAGATATTAATGGACTATTTATTTATGAACTAAAAAAAATTGTCAACTACGCTATTCTATTACCTGTGCGCTCGTAATGAGACTCCTCTAATGTGTGTTGGGTCCACCGTGTCTTTGTCGGAGACTTGGGTCGCGAAGCTCGGTGAGCAGTACAGAGTCACGTCGCAGAACCGCTCTGTAAATAACGAAATTGGAATTCATTACAATTTTATCATAACCAGATGGTGACTCTACCAAAAAACGATTTTTGCAGGAAACGAATGCACCAAAGATAGTCATTTCCGTTCCTTTTAACTAACATATTAAAAAGCTGAAATTTGCAAAGTTCGAAACTTAGATATCAATACAATAAGGAAGAGTACAAATAGAACATGAGTTGTTTATTCAGTTTTGAATATTAATTTAATTTTATACATGAACGAAAGCCATGACAGGAACCATGACAATACCACGGAGAAATCAAGAAAGTACCGTATCAGAAAATCGAGAAAAAATAAGAAGATAATCTAAATAGAAATCAAGTGAGTAGCGACATCTAGTTTGATATCGGGAACTAATGTTATTTGTTTAAATAAAAAACCTAAAAAAATTGACTTCAAAAAGTGACAAATAATACTTATCTTAAAAGAGACTTATTCAAGAAAATGCTATTGAAGTGGGTTGGAGGTTTTCTGTAGGTTATTATTTATATGATAGGACTTCAATATACTTTTCTTGAATAAGGCGCTTTTGAGATAATTTATCACTTTTTTAAAGTTTGAAGTTGGTTCTATTTAAGAAAAGGTTTTATTGCACACTTATTAGTGGTATTAATATTTTTGATATAATAGATATCACTAAATATATAATTAAAAATAAACAACATAGTGAAAGTCTTAGAAAAGGAGATTTTGTTTATTTGCTCGACTTGATTTTTTCCAATAATTCTATACTCATATTATAAAGAAGAAAGATTTGATGGCTTGTTTGTTTGCAAAGGACAGGCTCCGAAACTATTGAACCGATTTATAAGTCTTTCATCTACAGGAAGCTACATAATACGCATTGAACGTAGGCTATAATTTACGTAGACCGAGTCGAGGGGAAACAGCTAATTTGATAGAAAATAGTTCACAATTCAAAAAGAAATCGATGAACATACCTACTTTTATAAAAAAAAATATACATACTCCTTGAACATAAAGAATCCTCCTTTAGGATTTTGAATGAATACAAAATAAACATTATGATCTAAATATTCAGGTGATATCTGGTGGAAAGCATATTTTGTTTTGTTATAAAAGGAAAACTATCGATTCGATATCGATAAAATTTATTCGGCACCACCATTTAGCTATCAAATAAAAAATAATTTTGATAAACAATCGGAGGTGAACATACATAAAAAAAACATACATCGTCGTCAAACATATAACCTTCACCGTCATGAATCTATCCATCTGCAGAGGCTTAATTACAATTGCAGTGAAATACGAGTATTTGCATTCCCAAGAAGCTTTAGCAACATCTCTGTACAATAGGTATACGAAAGAAAAAAAAATATTGACGTTTGTTAAAAATTTTTGTAAAACCAGAACAAAAGTATGAAACCACTTATAAAACTATAAAGTTATTTTATTATTAACATTTGGTCCTTCGAGCCGGATAGCGCGTTATCGTAGCTACTATTGTTAAAATGGTGAATAGAGATCCATCGACCGGCCAGCTAGAAAATTTATTAAATTCGTTATTCATCAAAAAATAATTATTGTTTTTTTTTCATCGATTGGACTAATACGAAACCGAGAAGAGCTCGTTTCGAACGTTACGACTTATGGATCATAGAATCAAATATATGTCAGCTTCATATCGAACCGCTAAAATTACTCGTTTCACAGTATTCATATCGACGCTGGAAAGCAAACACGTAGTAACCCGCAAAACGAAAATGGATATTTAGAGTGGAAAATCTTTATATTTTTCCAAAAAAAGAAAACTTTTTTGGGTATAAATTGACTAAGGAACACTTTATTTATTACCATGGACATTTATAGGGATTATTTATTGAGAAAAATAAAAGTTTTTCTGCTCTGAAGAACAAGTATTGTTTTGCGGGTTACTACGTGTTTGCTTTCCAGCGTCGATATATTCCTTGGACATTTATCTTAATTTTAATCCGAGTTTCTAATAATTTTTTCCCGGTCCTAAAAATGGATGAATTTTAAATCTAAATAGGTTCGTGTTTTTGACAACGTCTCGTTCTGTAATCTATTTCGGTGGTCACACCAGAACATGTGCCGTTCAAAATAAACAGGAAACGACCCAGAGCCGGCACGATAAAATATCACACTATGTTTTTTTGTTGTTACGTAAAACTAATGGAACTTTACGTGCAATTTTTTCCTTTTACCTATATTTAAAGGAAAAATAATAAGCAAGCTTCATAAAGTTTATAGTCAACTGATTAATGACCACAAAGACTATACATATTAACAGACATGGAGTACCGTACCTGAGTAGCTCGGTGGCGTAGTGGATAAGCGCCGCGGCCCGCGATCGTTGTCGTTAAGCAACTTTCGCTAGGATCGGTCACGGGATGGGTGGCCAAAAAATTATTATCTCGAGCTACTCCGTGTAAGCTCGATTAATACCCTCCAATCCGCATTGGGCCAGCGTGGAGGGTCATGACCCATCCTCCTTAACCATCCATAAGGAAGGCTTGAGCCGATAAATCTATATAAATTCCTGAGTATTACGTACTGATTTTTGTAATGTAGAAGAAACACTATTTATCCATCATATACCTCAGGGTTCTCCCTGTGTGATCTGAGGGGTGGTATGGTTGGCCTATCTGATAAAATCCGAACTACCCTCACATTGAGTGAAAGGGGAGTAGTGGGCAAATTTCTCTTAATTGATATCGCCAGCTTGAAACGCATAGACTAGACTTATACTAACCACACATCCATAATAATCTGAAACCGGTATTATATTATTAACACACGTGACACATTTGATACGACACTCGTTGCACTGTCTATTTTTAGACTAGCTCCATAATATGTAAATTGACTCTCAGAATGTGGTCGTTACCCGGTCAAAATAGACATCATAGCGGTCGTCCAATTTGACTTATTAAAAATAATAAGCGATTGGCACAATATTAAAAATAACTTACACGCGTGACAATAGTGCCTTTTCTAAATTTATAACGGTCAAGAGCGAGTTGGATTTGCGCATTGAGGGTTCTGTTAGAATATTAATTTTAAAAATTGAAGACTTCTTGCCAGGATTTAATCTATAACTAATTAATGAACTATTTTCCGTATTCAATAAAAAAAAACTCGTCAGCTTCAGACGTCAAGGAGAGATAGTGGTCTATTTCCTTATAGAAAGAACTTCAAAACTATATATCAAAGTATTTTATTTGAGTAATATTATGTATCATATATCTGCAATAATAACAATATGTAAAATAAACTCTATTTACAATACATTAAGGTTTAAAGTAGTGGCGAAATTTAGCAATTGGCAATTAGTATAATAATCTGGCGTGCTGTTGACTGTACATACCAAATTTACCTAAAAATATTAAATAGAAATACCCGAGATTCCTACGATAATCCGTGTCATTTGATATGTCACACGACATGGTTTACAAAGATTGTTTATATCATAAAGGCATGTTCCACCTGTATATTCAAAAAACTTTGAGAAGCGCTGTTCGCGTAAAAAAGCTCCATTAATTGCTTCAGATGATTTATGTCGATATTATTTGGGTGCGCAACGTCGCAGGCAAATAGCTAGCGTGTAATAGTTAAACCATTTACAAATCTACAACGGGACCTTGTGTACTGAGTATCGGCAAGAAACTTGGCAAAAGATTTTTTTCTACCTTACTTAGCAGATTTATTTTTATTTTTTTCCGTAATCAATAAATTACGGCGATAGAACGAGTTGAAATGTCGCATGACGTCACACTTTTGTACATATTCATACATAGTTGTGACGTAGCAATCCACCGCTCCTCGACTTTAAAACGAATTATTTATGTCACGTATCTATTTTGTTTTTCAGTTATCTGAATGATGGACTAAATGGATTTTTTACCAGAAATGCCTATTAAAAAGAATCAAAATCGATCACAAATTAATTCAAACGGTACAAACTCGCATTAAAAATGTCAGTTATAAACTCAGTCGAATTAAAATATTAAAATTTAAAGTCATAAATTTAATACTAGATGCACATTATTTCTGTGCATATTTTTAAAACTTTCAAATATTAATATCTTACGCATATTATAAATGCGAAAGTTCGTGGAAATGTGCCCTTCACACAAAAATAATACTGAACGAATTTTGATGAAACTAGTCACACGGATAAATTGAAACCTGAATTATGAATCAACATTAGAATACTTTTTATCTCACTAATAAAATGTACTGTCGAGTCAACGAGTAAAGCACGCAGTCGAAGCCGCCGCGCCCGGTGGAAAGCTAGCTGTACATAAATTAATAAAATACAGACTTGATAACTAACTTCAATAAGTAAGTAACACTGGATTTTTTACGGCCGTTTCTCTTTTTTATACACGTTCTAAATTAATTGCTTTTAAAATGTCCAACTTTTAATACCTGATTTTGATATATATATATATTTTTTTAATTAACAAGTAAATACTTCTTTTTATTATATTTATCAATTTTGCATTCACTGCTATACTGAAAACTATTATTAATGAAAATACCTTAAAAAATCCACTCAGCTCCTGGCTACAAAATAGGTACACAAATATAGCCGAGCACGCTCAATAAGAGTGCTGTCAAAGAGATTTTGACTGCATCAAGTTTCACCAACTTTTTAGGTTACCTTTTTGTTTTTATTATAACATAGGTACTTGACAGGATCAGAATAATTTAAAGGTAGGTCATCCGAGGTCGTTTATCGGTCATAAAAATTTCTGATCTTGATATAGTATAGCTATGGAGCTTGATTTCTGGCTATTAATGAAGTGAAAATACCTTTATTCGAGTAGGCTTATTACAAGCACTTTTGAATCGACGAATTTTTTTTCAGAACGTCTTTTAGCTGTCAAGAACAAGCGAGAGAAACTTACCAGCTCTTTATTATAAGTGGCATTAATGACATTTACATAAATCATTTCATTACCATAATATTAAGTAATATAACAATAATAAATACAATTTTCAGTCTGTAAGAAATTTGGCACATATAATTTGAACAAAGCGAAGGCTATTAATTCCATGCATTGCGGTCCAAAATAATCCTCAACTTTATAATAGCCTTTACTCATAAGTATGTTCTTTACATGAATTTTAAATTTATTTACGGGTAGATAAATTACATTTTGTGTAACTTTATTGAACATAGCAATGCATTTACCCAGAAATGATCCTCTGGTTTTCTGAAGTCTGAAGCTTGACATTTTTTGGATTAACTTATCAGATCGCAATTAAGCTTTTTTTTTCTCGCAATATCGAACAACCAACTTATCGCAGTTTAAATCAATAGATTACATCAATCTCTATTGAAATTTCGTATTCGTAAAGACAAAAAAAACATTTTAAACGTGACGCTTTGTTGACGCTTCGTCCGAGAATAAAGCCTTCGAAATTGGACAGCGGACTTCAATTTATAAAAAATTAAATTTCTCAATATGTTATTTAATATTAGTTATCGATCATTATTAATATTTGCAGCAAACCAATTGGATAGCAAATCTCATAAACGAGATACATTTTAATGGCTTTTTTTTGGGTAATAATAATTCATGTTTGTATTAGCTAATCGATTCAGAAAGATCTGTACTTACTTATTACCTATTTATATTGATTTCCCTATGAATGTACCATTAAAGCAATATCTGTGGCCTAATTTTATAATCAGATATAGTATACCCTATCTGTATACCGAATTTCATCAAAATCCGTTCAGTAGTGTCGGCGTGATTGACGGACAAACATCCAAACAAAGAAACTTTCACATTTATAATACTAATAGGATTAGGCCTCTGATGTGCTCCGGCAGTCCTAAAAAGAGTTTGCATATACATACGCAACCTCGCCGCTAGCCGCTTGAACGCCATGGCGGCGTTATTAAGACCGCTCGACAATATATTAACCGCATAATATTCTACTTTTAAATACAATTCCCGCATTTTCATTCACACAAGATCGTACCAATTGTGGACAGTGCCGCAGTCGAAGGTTCGAGTCCCGTGGTGTTCATAAGTAGGTAGGAGTACTCTCAATTGTGTATCAGAGTTCTACCGCGTGTACTCTAGGGACAATCTAATCTTCCATATAGCTTTTCTTTCGCTTTTTTTTATTTAGAACTAACCGCATACTTTTAATTTAAGCTAGCGAGAGGTCTCGGCTATTTACCGCCGCCTCACCAGATACTAGTGATGAGCCCCTCACTCGCGAGGTGCCTCGTTTGTGTTCCTCATTTCGACAAAATGAGGGAGTACTCGTTTTTCAATTTTGAACCACCTCATTAAGCTCCTCACTTTTTGAGTGAGGAGCTAAATAGCGAGTTGTTTCAAATGAAAAGGCGACTCGATACTTACTCAATATATTCAAGATTGAGGGAATGGGTTAAGTTTTATGAATTTTGGAACGATTCAGGTTTGTTTATGTGTTTCTTCGGAAATACGTATTTAATATTTTATAGATAAATGATATTAATTGGTCTAAGTAAAAATCAAAGTTAATAAAAATGTATTGGTTTTATTTAGAAATATATTTATATGATTTGTTTAGCATTACCGACTCCCTCTCTCATTTTGTACCAAACGGCAATGTTGCGCGCGCCTCGCTACGTACTCATTCACTGCTACTATAATATTACCTATCCTCACCTCAAATGAGGGGTGCCTCGCGAGCCCCTCACGAGGGAAAATGAGGTACTCACTCATCCTCATTAAAAAAGAGTGAGTAACACAACGCTACCAGATACCCACATTTTATGAGCGTGGTGGAATATTATCGTTAAAGAATAGACGTAGTTAGTTGAAATGTTATATGATATATTTATGTTGCCGTTATAACATTAAATACTTAAAAAAAACAATCAAATAATATTTAAGGCAGCTTCTGTACAACAAACCGAATTTTGCAACAACAAGAAGTTATTCTATTATGGACTTTTGGTCGTAACAATATCTAATTTAGACGTTACTGTTGCCAATTTTTATGTCCTTGTATATTATTATGCTGGCTGCCTTGTACAGTCAAATAAATTCTCGTATCTAGTACATATAGTATAAAGAATAGCCTCAAATACAACGTTGAGCACAGCGCTATGACAGCATAGACAATTTTCTGGAAATTTTTTTTATTTTTATGAAAACGGGATCTTTTATTTGATTATTTTGAGATCTAATTTATGGATTCGGTCTCGGTATTATAATAGGGTTTCAAATATCTCCAAAATAATTGAAAAACAGATGAATAGAATAAGGTAGGGCCCCGTTTAAAACGGGAAGTTTGATCACGTTAGGCGTTAGACCTAGAAATAAAACCTGTATCAAAAATATGTTAAGTATATTATTTTTTCTCATAGACTCTATCTGTTTGTCGTTGCAAGAGTAATAACAATCTGTTCTTATTTTATTAGATTTCCGAATTTAGATGCATTTAATTTGTTTTAAAACCTTCGAATTTTAAGCGCGAACCGTTAGCTTTTACAGAAACTAGAATTTTGAAATTTCCTTGTTGTTTATTTATATGGTTTCGGTTCGTAAAAATGGTGTTGTTTCGAGAAACAAATTACCAAGTGACCAATAGTATAGTTCAGACTCATCGAATCAGTGTACAAGACGAAAACAGGAAAAGTGATTTGTGATTGTAAATTTAGGGAACGAGACAGGTCCCATTTTCCTGTGGAGTTCTCACCTTCCTGTATCTTTCAGATTAAAAAAAAAAGTCCAAAGCAGCATCGCAAATACATCAGTTTTAATAAAACAAAAGACCTCTTTAGGTTAAGCTGCACGATCTAAATCCCTTTGCTTAAAACAATAACGATTTAAAATGCGTCGGTATGGTGTACTTATGTGATGCTTTTCGCTTAGCAAGATTTTTTCCTTTTATTTATACTTCTAGTTCATCATTTCAATTCTAAATATAGTATTCAATTTTATTTCTACACTACAAAACGTTCACGTGATAAAAAAGAAGGTATATTATTTATGATTATGACTTCAAAAAATTTTTATGACGGTATGCGTCACGTGCCCACTCTCGTGACTTGTCGTTTTTTAAAAATGAAACCGGTTTTTTTATTTATATTTTGGAGGTCGCCGGCATTAACATTGCCAAATATAAGATTTCTATTTTGTTCTAGTCGTTTTTTCGTCTATTTTGGTCACCGCAGCTGGTTTTAGTTTGGTTTAGCGGGAAATAAGACAATTTGCGTTTAATGAGGACATTGCTTTATAATTTTAAATCAATATTGTGTAAGTCTCCGCTTCTCGAATTTGTTTATTAGTTGTATTTTTTTCTTCTTCTATACTATAGCTAAGTAGGTATATATATTGGTTGATTGCGTAGACTAGTCTAAAGGTTTAGTCCTATCAAACTGCGTTTTAAATTGTGATAATAAGTAAGATAACAAATTTAGACTTATTATATTTTAGCATATAGAATGTCGATGGCGTATTACACTAAAACTACTTGCTAACCAGTATCGCAAAATTTCTTAAGCTCAGTATATTACTAGGGGAGTCCAGGATGCTACAGGAAGCTTACAGTTACAAAAAAAGTTTATATCGAGTTGGCCATTTCAGTGGCGGGACGAGTTTGTAAAATTTTACTCGAGTACGTCAGACAGTTATGAGTACGTCCGAACTGACAAATACCTAATATGAAGAGATCTACGACTTTCAACTTTGCACACTTGACGTATCTTCCGTCAGATTTGTGCCAACCCTATTCCCAGCGCCGGTTCAATGAAACTTGGCGCCCTAGGCAAAACACTGGAACGACGTAACACCCATAAGGAGTACACGATACGTTGATACTAAGCCCTTTGGGTTACAAACAATAAACAACCCTATTTATAAAATATGCCGCTTCTGTAAATTAAAGAGATTTGTCTTTCATCTAAAGACTTTGATATAAATGTTTTTAATAATAAACAAGATAGTTATAAAAAATGTGCTAAAAATGCTATTAGTAATAATATAATGTTGTGCTTGGCAAACCATAGATATTTATTTTTAAGTAGAAATGTTTCACCTATCTAACTATAATATAGATTATGCAGTGTATCCATACCTAGGCTTATTATTAAGTTAAAAACTATGCTTGTATGTTTGTTAAGTAATGTTTGTAAGCTGTTCTTTGTATCTAATAAATAAATAAAAAAAAACAACAAAATAAACGACTAATGCACGATTAAAGGAGTGTAATTTTGCCAATGACAAATGAAACTCCTTAGGTCCTGCTGATCTAAAGATTTAGCTTTGAATACCACGGATATTGACGTGGACTCATGTTTAAAGAACTAAACTGCATTGTAAGGCTCAAAGACGAGCGCTCTAGGCGTTGCTTAGTTTGCAAATATGGACCGGCCGGCCCCGAATATCCCACATATACTATATTGACTTTCAAAAATATAATAAAATCAAGAGACTAACCAATACCTCTTCAAGCTTCACTTATTTGAACTCATTTGTTGACAATTCAGAATCAATTACAAATAATTGATTTTGGTTAAGGTGCTCGACGGCCATCTTAATTAAAATGTCGTCGCTTATATAATAGTAATAAAGTATACTGCATAATCAAACTTCGACCATCTTACGTACTAATACCCGACTGGTGCGATTTTTTGCCATTATTTTTTTAGTTTTCCTAACTGACCCTTGACAGCAACTATTTTTGTTTATAACTATTATAATAAAAAAAATATAAACCGACATTACTATGTGCATCGAAAAAATCTATTTATTGAGGAATAAAATGTGTTCCTATACTCAAAATGTCGACTAAAAGTTGCACAAACATCCATTAATATTTAATGACGCCTATAAGCTATGATGACTGCCTGATTTGTATCGGTAATGTCGCTTTAATTAAATGAAATTTTAATGGTAAGAGGTGTTGTTTACTATGAGCATAGGTATAAATAAAGGGAAAAGCGACATTGAATCATGTTGAAGAGCCGTTAGAAGTTAGGAAGAAGTCAAATATTTGGTCCATTTGGGAGGTGCTTATGGCGGGAGTACTACACAGCTAGTGAAGGGCACTCGTATTGACGCACTGATATACTGATCGTTCGCATAATAACGCTATTGAAATGATACGACTCAATTTTGATTTCGAAACTTCTAGTGATTATATCAATCATTGAAGTAAATTTTAATTTAAAAATCAAAAACACTACTGAACATTATCACCAGTCTATTAATATTTTCATTGCTGGGATACAGTCCTTCATCTAAAGAAATAAACATTGAGAAACCAAAAGAGTGCGGAAAAGACCGATTGCAATTGGGTAATCGTCTATCGATAAAAAAAATTTGTATATTATTTGACCGTTTGTATATTATTAATGGGCAGTGTCGATATTTGTTGTTTTTAAAAGACTTCAAAATCAAAGAGGAGGAGGTTATACGCTCGATGGCGATGTGTGTTCATAGTTTTTTAAGCAAATTTCCATATCAATTTTGTAGAAATTGAATAATTAGATTTAAACACTATAACAGCTCGGTAGAAGCTAAAACAGCTAGGTGAGTAGCTCGGTGGCGTAGTGGATAAGCGTCGCGGCCCGCGATCGTTGTCGTTAAGCAACTCTCGCAAGGGTTCGGTCACGGGATGGGTGACCAAAAAATTATTATCTCGAGCTACTCCGTGCTTCGGAGGGCACGTTAAGCCGTTGGTCCCGGCTGCATTTGCAATCGTTAATACCCTCCAATACGCATTGGGCCCGCGTGGAGGGTCATGGCCCATCCTCCTTAACCATCCATAAGGAAGGCCTGAGCCCCTGCAGTGGGGACGTAAAAAGGCTGATGATGATGTTATCGAAGAAAACAAAATATAGTACCTTTATTTTGTATTATAGTATAGTACCTATATTTTGTATTACTATGATTTTAAAATCGAAAAGGGGAATCTTCTATGTTCGACGGCTATGTGGACGTTTGATCATAGAAGAAATAAAAACCAGTTATGTTTTTACAAATTGCTGGCATAACCTACATGAAATATGTTGAATTTGTGGTGAAACTTTTCCAAAAAGGTTTTATTAAAATCTCGGCTCGTAACCTTTTTTCTAACGTACATATTGTTTTATAATAGTTATTTAAGATACGAGTGCGGAAAGCACGAATAAGGGCCACGAGCGTAGCGAGGGTTTTCATTGGCACGAATTCGAAAAACCCTTTACGCTCAAGTTTCTTACAACATTTTTCAATGCTTTTTGCGAGGAAATAAAATAAATATAACTAAGTATGTATTAAAGGTAAAAATTATTTGTTAAAATTAAACGTGATATTTGAACATGTTTTCGTGTCATACATTTTTATTTGAAAATATTCGTTCTAGGCTCCTTGAAATACTTTTGCCTCTAAAGTTTGACATATTTTCATCATTTTTTTTTAAATTTCTTTGGTGCTCGGCCAAAAAAATTAAAAAAATACTTTTAAGCACGTGTGCAGTAAAGGATTTCAGTACATTTTAATTTAACACGTGTTTAAAGACTCACTTTCGGTGTTTACAATGGATTAAAAAAATAGCGCTTTATGAGCAACTGCACTGAAAAATTACTTACATCTCTGTATATGTATGTAGCCAGTTTGAATAAAAGATGTATGTGATACCAACCTTTTTCGAGCAGTTGGGCGAACATGTTCTGCACGTTGGAGTGGTGGTGTTTCCACCTCAAACAGTACTGTTGCGGCATCATCTTATATTT